GAGTTACAAGAAAAGTGTTCGCAAAACTTCTACTATGATATGTTTTCTGCAAATTTATATCGATTTATAATTACAATTCTTGAAAATAAATAGAAGACAATCCAAAAATAGACCAAAAGCAACCTAAATATGCCAAATAATACCAAAATCAAGAATCACCAAAACTAAAAACATATTGTTGAGGACCAAAAAATCCAAGGCAAGGCCCAAATATATTTCTGGCCTAGTACGACACCTAATTTGGGAAGAAACTTGACTTGGGTATGCAAGAGTTCGTCATATGCGCTTATACACGTGCCACGCCAAGAAAATACGTAACCTGCCACGCAGAAAGGTCGTGACAAGCCCCTCTGCCCCTCTGCCCCTGGTACGATTTTTGATCAAATAGATTTGGGTTTTTTTGTTCAAATATATGGTGGTGGTTTTGGTGTTGTTGTATGGGATGTGTTCGATTTTGGGGAAGAAGGGGGTTTGTCTGAGTCTTATAGGAAGTGGGGTTGGTAAGCAGAAATTCAAAGGGGGTCAAACTCAGGTGTAAGGAAATAGGTACAATGCCTTGTCCGACTATCCTAACTCACATCTATTTATTTATTGTTTTAGAGGGAGGAAGTAGTAACTAATTGTGATGTATGGTGCTTATAGAGAAAAAGTAACAAGGAGAGATGAAGGGTTGACAGGAAAATTATAAATTAATACAATTTAAAAGGAAAATCAGTTACTTTTTTGTCAACTTACATTTCATTTGTTGGAATTTGTATGTAATCGCTCTTCTTTTGTCAACTTTACACTCCCTTGTATGTTATAATAAATTGTGGTGATTTTCCCACTCCCCTTTTGTCCACTTACACTCCCTTTTGTTTTTTTAATAGCTTTTACTATAACAAAAAAGGGAGTGTAAATGGACAAAAGAGGAGTGAGAACATACAATTTCTAATAAATGGAGTGTAAGTGGATAAAAAAGGAGTGAAAAAATCAGCTCCCATAATAAAAAGTATTAAAAAAAACAAAAGCCACATGTGTGACACGATAAACGTGATTACATAAAATTCATAATATAATACAAATAGCATAAAACCCGAAAACAAGAATGCAGCAAAGCTCAAACGGTGAACCAGAACCAGAACCAGGCCCGACCCGAAACAAACATAAAAGGATAACCAAAAGAAGGCTCCCTTCTCAAAGACTTGGTTTATCTCTTCAGTCCTGGCTTTTCTTTGTTTTGCTTAAATCGCCTTGCATTGGGATTGGGTTCTTTTTTATTTCCGTTGCCTTGTCCTTGTTCGTTCCATTTTTCAACTAAAGCAACAAAATACATTAGGATAAATATATGATTATGAAATACATAACAATAACACTATAATACATAATATTTACAATGTTATTGGCACTTTTTTTTTCCCGTTCCTTTTATTAGTGCAATTTTAAACATGAGATTAAGAAAGAAAAGAAAATAAGGGAGGTGGGGGTAATAACAACCTTATATTAAGAAATAAGGAAAATTTGACAAAATAAAATAAAATATAGAATGAGTGACTTCACTGTTGATGCTAGTCTTTGCATGTGGTTAAGGTGGCGTTTGGCCCCGCTGAAATTTTTTAAAAAGCAGCTTTAATAAAAATTTGGCATGAATTGGGTGTTTGGTAAACCCAAAAAAACAAGCTTATTTTAAAAACACCCATCATAAAAAGCAAAAACTCAAAGCAGCCAATACCCAGCTTTCAAAAGCTGCTTAAAAAAAGAGCCGGTTTTTTGATTAATGAAAGTTTCATTATTCCTATAATGCCCCTCAACATTTTACGAAAGGACAACGTTTGTCCCTCTCACAAAATATCTCGCGACCTTCACTCTCTCTGAGACCTTCACTCTCTGCTCTTCTCACTTTTCTTCTTCCTTCGCTATCTCAAAATTCCAGTCTCAATCAAGGAAGTTCATTGCTAACAACAATCAGCTACTCATCAGTAAGTTCATCTTTTCATTACATTTATGATTTTTGGGTTTATATATGTAATGAAATTAGGTTTTTTTTGGTTTCTATGAGATTGGGGGCTTTGTGTTCTTGGGGCTTTAGGAGGAAGACACGGGAGAGAGACAGAGACAGAGACAGAGAGATAGAGAGAGAGTTTTTTGTACTGGGTTTGTCTCTCGTTGCTTTTTGGCAAGGTTTTGTTTTCTCCCTAGCTTGGTCTGGGGTTTTCAATTGGCCTTTGGGTCAGATACTTCTGTCTCTGTTTCTCTTTCTCTGAAACATGTCTGTCCTAGATGCCTTTTTTCTCTAGATTACCCAACCATCATTGTTCATAGCTCATTGTATAGTTTGGTACAGTTCCAAAATCTCAAGAACAAAACCCGCTAGGCCAATCTGGTTCATTATATACATACATCTATATATATACACACACACATATATATATAATTGCAACCCCAGTCCCCAAAAGTCAAGTCCCGTGTTGATTTTTCCATTGTCCTAACCTTGTTTCAACTTTCCATCAGTTCTGATATTTTTTACAACTTTGTTGATTATGAGTTTTCTTTCCTGCAGTTGCGGATGCTTCATTGCTGTGAAGGAAGTTTCCTTGCTGGATAAAGGAAGTCAGGGGGTGCAAAGAGTTTATCAACTTGAACAGGTGAGAGGCTTGCGTTGTGTCTGGTCCTATGTCCTGGTTTTGCATGCCTATACTAATTGATTCAGTAATAGTTTGTGAGTTCTATTTCTCATACTCAACTCATACATGTAGGAGGCATGCCCAACGTGATAGACATTTTGATGCTTCAAATGATATCTTAAGTGAAGAGATATGTGAGGATATTGATGTACAACAAGAAGATAGTCTTCATGACAATGGAACACAAGAGATGGAAGCATTGAGAAATAGGATTGCTACAAGTTTAATGAATGCATCTAATTAGCTTCTTTTATATTGTAGTGATCTATTTGGGCATGTTAAAATTGAACAAGTTTTGTATATTCGTTATGCTAACCCTCTCCGAAGCCCTCAAAACACATTGTTATTATTAATATAACAATATTTATAACTACTTTTGTTACAATATTGATTTATAATTTATGGTAATATATGTGTGCTAATTGTAGATTACAATTTTTGATAAAAACAATGTGTAAATTAAATAAAGAAAAAAAAATTATGTAGTGAAGTTTGTTTTCTTTTTTTTAAAGTAGAAAAAGAATGAAGAAAAAAACAAGCAATTTCATCATCATGCCCTTTTCGGTCATTATACATACTAAAAGCACTTCTGATAAAATTTTACCAAACACTTCGACTACTCACAGCAGTTTTTCAAATATAGTTTACCAAACACCTAACTGCTTTTTTTCACAGCTGATTATTTTCGCAGCACAGCAGAAGCAGTTTTTTTTAAAAGCACAGCAATGCCAAACTAGCCCTAAGAAACCAAACTAAATGTTGGTTTTGCTAATTGATTGTCACAATTGAGAAAGTAACAATTTTTTTTAAAGGCTTTTTATCGCAAATGGTCCCTGAGGTTAACGAAATTATCACATTTCATCCTTATTGGTTTTTTTTTTTGTGACATTAATGGTCCTTAAGGTTACTCTTTATACATCAAATTGGTCCTTACCGTTAGCTTCTATCAAATTTTCTGTTAGAGTACTGACATGGCACATATGTGGAGGCCACACATCCAATTATATAAAGCCAAGTGGATTTAAATAAAAGATATCATAAAAATTAAAATTCATAAACAATGGGCTAAAAATTAAAGAAAAAGGAGATTAAAACTTCAATAAATAAAAAAATTTGAAGCCATCCCCCTCTCCCCCTCTTCTCTCTCTACCCCTCTGCCCTCTTTCTCTATGTTCTCTCTCCAGAGCCGCAACACGACCCACTCTCTCTCTCCCTCTCTCTTCCAAGAAATAATCAAGAAAAGAAGATGGCAGCAAATGCAAAATTGGTGACTGGCATTGAGTTGAGTGAGAGTAGAAGAAATGGCTCTTACACTGCCAATGGTTTCCCTACCCAAAAAAATATTAAAACTTCAAATTTAAAACACTTGGGTGTGGGATTTGGGTGTTGGGGTGGGTTGTGGGTGGGGCTGGGGCTGGGTTTGAGGGGTGATTTGGGTTGTGGAAGGGAGAGAGAGATGGCTGCAAATTTTTTTATTTTAAAATTGAAGTTTTAAGCTCCTTTATGTAAATATTTTTATGAATTTTAATTTTTATAGTATCTTTTATTCAAAATCCACTTGGTTTTATATATAATTGGATGTGTGGGCTTCATATATGTGCTATGTCAACACTTTAACAAAAAAATTTATAAAAGATAACGATAGGGACCAATTTGATGTATAAGGACCATTAATAATGTCAAAAAAAAAAACCATTAAGTACAAAATGAGATAATTTCACTAGCCTTAGGAACCATTTGCAATAAAAAAAACCTATATTTAATTAGATACTATAGGAAACAGTTTTGGTTGAGTACCTATTTGGTTTGCTACCGCCGCACCAATTCTTCCTACTCCGACAGCAGCACCCTTCACCAAATTAAGACCATCGTAGAGAAAGTCGCCCACACCACCACCTTGTGCAGGCTGAGGCTGAGGCTGAGGCCAAGGCCGAGGCTGTGCAGGCTGAGGCCAAGGCCGAGGCTGTGCAGGCTGAGGCTGAGGCTAAGGCCGAGGCCGAGGAG